ATTTTAGAGCCATTCTGGGACAAACCTTTTTTTTTTTCATAGTGCAAACATGGTTTAATACTTTGCAGAACGTGATGAAAAATGGATTTTCTTAAAAGTTCTTTTTGGTTTTCCAATACTTGTCGATAATTGTTTGGAAGTTGTTGAAAATACAAAGCCTAATGTTGAATGCCTGACTATAACTAAAACAGATGCCAAATCATTACTGCAATCTTACATCCACATGCAAAGATTTTTTTCCATGCCCAAACAATCTTTTTATTTCAAATACAATAATAATAAGTAGGAATATTGTTGAGTCATAGCCCTTATGAGACTACAACAAAACTTATTTTGCCTTGTAATCAATATATGTTTCAAGAACTTTTTTCAGTACCTAAAAAATAATGCTTACTTGGGGACAGATTAGATTTTTTTTTTAAATCAGCATATTAAATTTCTGATGTCAGTGGAGATTGGCTGACCAGATTTCATTACATACCATCATAGTAGGCACTCTAATAATTTAATGCATCTCAAATCATAGGTAGCCAATCTTATGCAATAGAAGCCTATTGAGACAGTTGATGAGTTGTTTGTAACTTATTTTATTTTAATATTGTAACTTATTTTATTTATTCCCAGTTCACAAATTTTCATTGATATTCTAAAAAGAGGCAAAAATGAGGCAACAGAGATTCATAATTTTGTTTGTAAAACAGATTCACAATGGGGTGTAAGAATAGACTAGAATAAGTGTTCCCAAATTAAAGTCACACTTTACACATAATGTATTATGCTGTACTGTACTAGACAAATGGTTCAAATTTACAATTTAATGCATGCTTAAAATCTGGTTCAAATATTTTTTGTATCAGACATAAGCTTTTTCCATGGATATGTGGAATTCTGCGTTTTTTAATTCAATTCTGATGGTGCCTGAGATTCGTCAGGCTGGTTAGGTATTGCATCCCATGATAAATGTTCAGTTTTTTTTTAACCTAGGCTCATATCTGATGTATATTGTACACAATGGAAAGATAGGCATTGCTCAGATATTTTTTCCTATCTTGAATAACAATTGTGAGATGTCTGACACCTGTTAATGCATCTGGTCATTAATTGTCAGTCTTTTTCCAATAGCTACTGTTCTTCATAAGTCAGTCATTCACATAGCTGAAAATGTACATAAGGATATATTATTGCAAAACGACATAACAATGAATTTCTATGGCAGAAATCCAAAATGAGAGAAGTCTGTAAAAGAATGTAAAGAAAAAAATTATATATATATATTTAATTTTTTTAAGACAGCAGTCCACCTAGATGGGATTTGTCGAAATGATAAAAATTATATAACATGATTGTAGAAGTAATTGAAAAAAACACATACTTAAAAAAGATATTTACATAATGGTAATGAATGTGTTTGCTAACATATAATAATGATAACCTTTCTGACAGCCAGGTGCCCATAAATTTTTCAAATCAGCTATCAAAATATTAGAAGTGATAACAAAGATATACAATGCTCTATGATAATAGATGTGTGTACTTTTATTGGAAATAGATCAAGCAGTACTGATAATATAAAAAATGTATCTGATTCTTGCATGGTCTTATTTGTGCAATGTCTATTAATACCAGTAAGTACAACAACTTGGCAGTTTGATCATATGGATAAGGCCATGCAAAAATTCCATCATAATGATGATAATGACATTAATGATTGTACATCTGCTTGCAGGTAATGGGCATAACCTTTCTAGCAGCCGGAACTAGTGTCCCTGATCTCATTACCAGTGTAATTGTAGCAAGAAAAGGATATGGGGACATGGCTGTGTCCAGTTCAGTTGGGAGCAATCTTTTTGATGTGACTGTGGGGTAAGTTGAGGAAAATGTGTGTTTATTTATTTTATACCACTGCACTCCCCACAAAAAAGCCAAAGTTTTTATACCAATATGTAGATCATTAGATTACATTTTGGTTTTGTTTTATTCATTTAAAATGCGTAACTATGTTTTCATTTTTCAATATTGTTTTAAAAGTGTAGCTCTATTGTTTGGTTCAAAGATTCATCAGTAGATTAAAATGACAGATTATATTTCTTTGCCCTTAACGTGAAACCTCTTCTAAATGTCAAACCACAAGAGACTAGTTTTACACGTGAGGAAGTGAGAACAGAATGGTTTAGTGGATTTCAGAGATAATTTAAACATTTGAGGTGATGCCTGACATGAAGGATATTGAAAATTTTATTAAAAAGAAGTTTAAGAATAAAAGAAAGTGATAAATGATATGAAAAAAGAATTCATTAAGGGCGCATTCCCATAGATTTTGGATCGATCTATCCCCATGGGGAGTCTCACTAGATTGCTGTCAGATAATTTGGCTTAAATGATGTCCGTCCCGCCTACTACAAGCTGTAAGGGGGTAATTAACTTTCGTACCCGCTCGGCTGACAGCTATTTAGCGTGAACCCCCAGGGAGTTAGGTCGATCTAGTTGGATCGATCTAATCTCTGGGAATGGGGTCTAAGTCTTCAGTTAGTTATTAATGGCTTTCTCTGAAACGTCCTATATTTTTTTGGTGGATGCATCTATCACAATCATCAAAGTCTGCACAAACAATAATAAAATTTTAATTATTTTTTCTCATTTGTCTCCATTACTTAAGTTCATCCCAAATAGAAACCTTACTGTCCACACACCGAGATATTAATGATATACAAATTGTAGATCCAACAGCTTAGCCTTTTTACGTGAAACAATTAATTTACCCATCCCTTTTAATCTTGTATGTATCTGTAATGAAAAGACGGATGCGATTTTAAAACATTAGAGATAATGTAAAAATGACAGTTAATAGAAAATATGATGAAAACATGCTATTTAGCAGACTATCCTTAAATCAAACATGTCAGTATGCATTTACATACACGTGAAAGAACTTTATAAATGGATTTCTTAATATCTTAACTCTTTCCTTTTTGGATTGAATGTGATTGTGTTTTAAAGGAACATTAGTTATACATTCTGTAAATGAAATAGATATTTCATCAGCTATAGCATGTCATGTACTAAGAATAAAGCAGGAACCTTTCTTCAATCAAAAGCTTATATTGAAAATGTGTTTTGCCTCCAATGTTCCGATATCTGAAGTGTAGACTATATTGTGAACCCAGAATGGAAGCTTTTCACCTGGATAGCTCCATTCCTTGAAGAAGATGCTCTAGATCTGATCCCCTAATAAGACATACAGACAGTTAACTTGAAGTCTGCTACTGAATACCATGTATTTTTTTTTCCAGATTACCATTCCCATGGCTGCTGAGTGCCATAATCTACTGGCGGCCCATATCTGTGGACAGCCAGGGTCTCTACTGCTCTGTGGTCCTCCTCTTCCTGATGTTGTTATTTGTGGTCTGCTCTGTAGCAGCATTCAAGTGGAAGATGAGTAAAGGCCTCGGGGTAGCCATGTTTGTACTCTATAGTGGGTTTCTGGCAACCAGTGTGCTGCTTGTTTTAGGGTTTTTTCAATGCCCATTTTGATACATAAATAGTGGTGTTTGGGTCTGTCTCACTATCAATAAGCAATGAAGGTAATACTAAAATGCTAAAACAAAGGCCGTCACATCTATTCCATATTTTAAGACATCATGATAGAAATTCTAAATTATACTGAGTAAGACAAATGACAAAGACAATCTGTGACTGCATAATTTATTTGTAGTTCATGTACATGTATATGGAGAAATAGAATCTCTGTTTGTGATGCAGTTTATCATAATACAATCCAGCATGTATGACATTGCGGATTTTAACCTTTGTGACTAGTCAGCATTTATGGGGTCTAGGCCAGTTGTGGATCCAAGATATTACTGACAATGCTGGTTGGCTCACTATCAGAGTTTTAGAGGTTGTGGGGAAACTTCAGATTCTAGCGACAAAAGGATAATTAGCGTGAGCTTCTGACACCTCTGAAACTCATTTTTTTTTTTTTTTTTTTTTGGGGGGGGGGGGGACAAACAAATGTGTTTGCTTTAATTTTTTTTGATTGAAGCTGATGGGGTGCAACATGACCTCTGCTCTGGATCCGTCATATTAATACATATATTAATCAACAAGTATTATATATACATTTACACAAACACTTACATATAGATATTCATTCCACTTATTCCCTTGATACATCAACTACTTTTGTTGATGGGTTTTAATGTTTTCTTTTTGTTTAAGGTTTTGTTTAGATTACACGCACAATCTTTTCTCAAGTTAGGGAAACAGTATTTGATATTTAGTGTTTTCCTGATATATTGAGAAACAATTTAAAATTATTTGTTTGCATTATATTTGCTTTAGTTTTCCTGCTTTGATACTTTGCCTAATTGTTTAAAATCATAACATGTACCTCACTTTTCACTGATGTTTATTGATCAGATTTTTGACAGAATTATTGACAGTAGTAAATTTAAGATGACTTAATTTGCTTTCAGTTTTTATGTTTGCATGTCTTACTTGATAAGTGCTGTTGTTTATACTAGTAGGACAAAATTTAAGTGATACCAGCCTATCTGTGATAATTTAAGATTTGGGGGGATTTAAATTTTTCTTTTTAGTATAATATTATCTTTAAGTTATTTATTATTTAAGATTTCAGTATTAAGGCATCAGGAGCATACAGTATAAGTTCTTATTTTTGAATAAATACACAAGAAGTAACATTTTACAGGGTTATGGTGGGGGGGGGGGGGGGGGGGGGTAGTGTGAGACAACCAAGTATGGCAATTTTTCCAATGTATCCACACCAAATATAATTATACCATTTGTGAAAGCTTTTTTTAAGATGTACAATTAATACTCCATATTTCAAAATATATTACACAAGATATTTAAGCATGAAATGCTGCACAGTGCAAGTAATTGGGATTACTGCATGTCTTAATAGTTTTCAAACATTTTAGGGGGTTTTATTTTATTGTTTAATAGCAACCTTTACAAAATAGTGAACATTGTTGCTATAAGTTTCAATGTGTTAGATTTATCACATTCCAGAATACTGCCACCGTGTATTAATGTACATTAAACTAATTTATTATTTAAGACATTGCAAAGCTTAAATATACTGTACATTGCATTAAAAATATGTTGCATAACTTGTACAGCCACCCTGACGAGCATTGTAAAATGTCCCATTTTCTGTTTACCTGTGCTATAATATGGACTGCCATTTCTGCTGAATAATATCCTAACTGTTCTACTCATAAAAATGTTTTAATCCATGATTAATAACAAATGGTAGCCAGTTATTGATAGAGAACGATAGTGTGATCTTTCATAATTATATGCTTCTTGTGCAACAGTCATACTTGTAGTCAAAGACGTTCCATGCTTATCTGAGGTGTTTATCACCGTGGCAGATTTTTTCAATTTTTTTCTAGGATATCTAATATCCTGTTAGATTAAGTCATTTGGCATTGAAAAGCTTCAGAGTTTGTCATAGTTGCTCATACCTTGGAAGTATTTCAGAATCTGACATAAAAGATGCAAGAAAGGTTTATCATTGTTAATCACTATAAGAGATATTATTTTACAGCACTTAATTTGGAATTAATAGTGAATATTGATTACAAAGTAAGAAGTTTCTTTCTCTGCTGCATCCTGTCAGGTAGAAATTAAAATGAGTTTGACATTAAAACAGTGGGCTGGCAATGTCTGTATGGCATGAGTGTATGCAGCATTGTATTGGTCTCATTTCCTGCCACTTTATAATTGTCAATTTCTCATCAATTATTTAAGGTGTAGATGATACCTCTGAATTGTAAAGGTGCCTCTTGGCATAATTGAAGTCTATGGGCTTAATTACAGTATGCACTTTTGCATAATCTTATATAATGATAAAAGAAAAGTACTTAAAAGTATGAATGGCAGATGACAATCAGTGTTTGTTATTGAATGTGGAATTAACAATTGTGAAGATTGTACTTGTTATTATTCACCGTCGATCTTAATTAAAAGGAATATAAAACTATTGTGAATATTTTTTGTTTGTGTTTTCCCAAGCAGTGTCCCTTCTGAGCCTCAGAAAACTGCCCCTGTACATGCCACCAGTTACCTGTAAGTGTGATAACAACTGCAGTTTGCCCTTGAAGGTGGTAATATAAAATTATTGACTTTGGCTGAGGTAGATATTTTTTCTGCAGACCTCAAAATAGTGATATCCACTGAGATGCAGTCAAGTTCAATATAATTTTTCTTAGGTCTGCCAAACAACACTGACCAAAAGCAAAAGCAATTGTTTTACTATATGATTCCATACCTTCATTTCAATGTTCTCCAAAATAACATGGAAGTTAGAAATATTGCTGTCATTTGACATTGTAGTCCTCTGATTAAAATATGTGTCCCTTTCTATGGCTCAAAAATCAATCAGAATATCAAAAAAAAAAAAAAAAAAAAAAAAAAAAAAAAAAAAAAAAAAAAAAAAAAAAAAAAAAAAAAAAAAAAATCATGATTACATGATAACAATAGAATGCAATCTTACTTGGTATTTCCCGGAAAGCTTATGAAACTCAATAGTGCCTGATGATACTGCAGAGTTTTGCCACGTACACCTCAGTTTACCCAATATAAGATCGTATTCTGTTCTTTAAGTTAAATGATAATGATTTTTTTCCTTTTTCATGACATGATTATTTAATTTTGTTTTTTGTACATCTTCCTTCAATATGGCAATATCTGAAAAAATAAGTGGAGGTTATTCAACTTAAATTTTCAAAGAAGAAAAAAATCAGTAAAATAGGTCTTGCATCTATGGAGCCAATTAAAATGTGAAATCGATATGGTGCAAGCTGTTTTCATGCCTGCAGGCTCTGATGGACCATGGTAAATTTATTGCTACTGTGTTGGGTGCAATCAACCAAGTACACACACTCTTTAGTTACTCCACAGAGTATCTAAATTGACATTTCAAACATCCACAATTTTGGCAATCAGGATCGGATATGGATGAAACTTGGTAATTGCACAAGACCACAAATGTAGTATTAGTTCACACAATATGATGCCATTACATCAAAAATAAAAATACAAAAATACAAATTATTTTAAACTTGTCAATGGGCTTTTCCATGTAAATTTCAAAACTTATCTGACAAGTAATAAACTACAAAAGCAGTCTTGGTATGCTGATAGTTGATGAAAAGTGAAAGCTATTCAAAATTTTCCCCACCTACCCTGGTGGATTGGGGGCGTCTCGATAGTCCGAAGGTTCATTGGTCCGAAGGTTCATTGGTCCGAAAAGTGGTAACATTTTCATCGATTTTTTAATCAAGGGTTCATTGGTCCGAAGGTTCTATAGTGAACATTCGGACCAATGAACCTTCGGACTTTCGCTACGGCCCCTTTGGATTTTATAATTAAGTAGTATATTGTACACATTTTTGTCAACCTGAGTGTGAAATAATGATAACGTTGATTCGCAATATTTGTGTGAGGCTTTAAAAGTTCCTTATGATGAACACAGATGTTCTTTGTACATCGATGTACTTTTTGCCACCCTTTCACCCTTTTATAAACTGGACACCCGAATGAAGTCTCAATTACACCTATTGCTACAGGTGCGACTCGATGTGAAAAGCAATCATAAATCACATCCAGATCACAATCCAGATCAACATGTTTTTTTTAATCGAATGTCTAAATTCAAATCTCAAACAATTCCTGTGATTCATATTCGTACAAAAACACAAAAAGAATAACTAGTTCAATATTTGCTGTCCTATTTTGTAATCCCACTATAGCGTGGTTACGTTCTGTGTACGTGCACCGCCATCTTTAATTTACCGGCAGCATGGCGGATGCTGCTGCCCGTCAGCTTCAATATGAATACAAAGCGGTAAGTATTTTTCATGAAGATGGATCACGCACTTGTAGAATAAACTAGTTGCTTGCAAATTTGCAGGCGTAGAGGCGTAATAGTGGCGCATTACTTCTGGTGATCACCACTGAGGTAATAGATAGGGTTTATGCCTCGCTAATGAGAACCACAAAGAAAACTTGTGATTGGTCTTACAGTTGCAGTTACACTTCACAGACAGAGTACAGGTTGAAATGATAATGTTATGTTTGCGAGAGTATTGGAAAGCACGCTGAGCAACAAATGATTTGCATTTGGTTAAGGCTGATATTGATGATGCTGCTTAAAGCATTATGCACATTATGTGCATGCTTTCACAATTTGCAGCAATATTTAGTTAAGTATCTGGTTACTCCGCGGCAGCTGATCCAAATAAAATGTAATCTACCTCTCTGGACTCCTGATAACTTTTTATGCACTTATTCTTGGGATACAGTCTGAAAGGCATAGGTAAATTTAAGATACAAGGTGTCCAAATAATAATGTGTATCCTCTGTCTCACTTACATTGCACCTGTGTGTCACCCAAAGCAGTAGAATGAAGTTTTTTATCACTTTGGGGCATAGTTTTATGACCAGTACAGACTTCGTGTAATATAGTAGTGTAGAAAATGTTTGAACAAGATTTATAAGTTAATTACAAAGAAACATCCTTATATTTGAATTAATTGAAATACAGCAATAAAACCTTTGTAAAATATGGATCGTCAGGGCTCAACATAAACATTCGACCCTGCCTCTTCCTCAACAAGTTTGAGGTCATTACTTTATTTGTATTATTTTATATTCTATAATATAATTTGTCACTTGGTTCTTCTTTTCAGAACTCTAATCTTGTACTTCAAGTCGATCGGTCGCTCATTGACCGGCGTGCCAGAGATGAGGCCACAGGAGAAGTCATGTCCCTGGTGGGCAAACTGGTGGGAACTAAGATGGGAGATAAATCCATGAGAACAAAACCACCACAGATGGAAGAAAGGAAGGCAAAGTAAGCAATGCAGTCCTTATTATTGCCTGTTGTTCCATACTGAATTGAAAAAAAAAATGTACTGGAAAGCTGAATTATCTGAGTCTATGTGATTTATTATGATGTCTCTTAGCATCCATGAGCATGCATGAGTTCAGACATGCTGAAACTGTCGGTCCGATCGGTCATGACCGGGAAAATTTGTCTGGCCCGGTAAAAAATTGGACTTGTTCGGTCCAAAGGACCGACACGAGTTTTAAGAACCACAATTTTGAATTTGTAGTCATCATTTGACATACTTCACTAATTAAATTATATAAAACCCAAAGCATTTTCCCCTTCATTTCAAGCCTATCACACTCACAAACAAAGTAATCTACCTAATTGTACTGGTAGTATCTGTCTCAAACGAATAGGGTGATTTTCGGTCCAACAAAAATCTATTTGGTCCGGCAAATTTTTCATTACTGCCTGTACAAATGTCCAGCCATTCTGAAAAGTTTCAGCATGTCTGTGAGTTCATACTAAGGTCAACTAAGTTAAGCTTGTGATGTTTAATGTGCTTAACCAACAGTGATAACTTCTTTTAAATCCGAAAAAAAAAGTTTGTGGTCTTTGTGATTACTGTATCATTGAATCATATGGTGAATAATTTTAATTAAAAATTAACTACTGTAATATAGTTGTTTATGTGATTGACAAGAATGAATTTACAAGTACACATATTTTTACTTTTCTTTTACAGATTTTTGTTGAAAATTTGAAAAGAGAGGAATAATGATGGGAAGAAAAGGGATGAAAAAATAACTCAATTTTGATGGCTTGGGGGTTTTTTAGATAGAGTTTGTTGTAATTTGTTAACCATTTGCCCTTCTCTAACCAGGCGGCGAAAGCGTGATGAAGCTCAGCGGGACATGTTGAAGATGAAGGGTCAGTCCCTGCTGTCTGAGGGGATAGATGAGATGGTGGGCATCCTGTACAGACCCAAGACACCAGAGACCAGGCAGACTTATGAAGTTCTGCTCAGTATTATGCAGAGTGCACTTGGAGATCAGGTATATTAGAGTCTTGTTAATATGTAGGTAAATTAAATATGTTTTTGATGAGAAGTTATGAAGGAAAGGAATGTGTTGCCAAAGTCTTCTTTTGAAGGGATCATCACTCGGAGATGAGGTAGACTTATGTTGCAAATGAAAGTTCAAAATTAAATTTTTTAAAGATGTCTTTCTTTGTTACTAAGTTGTCGCATTAACAGTGTATTTCTTTAATGTAATGAACAGGTTACCTTGGACTTAAAGGTAGGCTGGGGTTGAAGTTGGTAGAATTTGGAACAAAAAATGAACTGAGAATTATTTTGCGAATGTAGGTAATTAACACTTGAAAAGGCTTGTCAAGTATTAAATGATGAAAAAAATATCCATCTATTTCATGAAGTGAGTATTTCTACTAATATTTGGTTCTGTTGGTTCCAGCCGAGAGATGTATTGTGTGGTGCTGCCGATGAAGTCTTGGCGGTATTGAAGAATGACAGAATGAAGGACAAAGAGAGGAAGAAAGAAGTGGAGGCTCTGCTAGGGGAAATGCAGGAGGAAAGGTTTGCTCTGCTGGTGAATCTTGGGAAGAAGATCAGTGACTGGGGCAGTGAAGAGAAGATGCAGACAGGTGAGGGTTTTGAAATACAGTGTAGTTTTTCAAAGCCACTTCTGGGATGACTCTAGGACAGGGTTTCTCTTAGTCAGAGTGAAAGATGACTTTATCCAAGTGAAAATTGTAAACAAAATAATGAAATGTTTGGTTAAATTGATGAAATATTTAACATTTTTCCTAGTCATATTATAATAGTTTAAGCAATTGGCTAATGTTTGCTGCCCTAGTTTGAGCCAAGTATTACAAAATAAAAAGGTTAAGAGCATTGATGTTGAAATGTTTTTAATTTGACAAATTCTGTTACTCTAAGTTATTCTAAGTTTGGCAACACGAAGCAAGTTCTGTCCCATAAAGGTGTCACATCAAATGATATGTAATATGATTACTAGGTATTTTCAGTGTCTGAAAAGAAGCCAAGCAAATATTAGTTGGTAAATTTGTAACAGATGTGAAAGACTAAAATAAATATAAGCACTTGATTTTATATAAGCATAATATATGTTTACCACAGATGACAGCATGGAAACATTTGGTGTCAATGTCCAGTTTGATGAGTCTGAGGAGGAGGATGAGGAGGATGCTTTTGGTGAGGCACGAGGAGAGAGTGAGGATGAAGATGACGAAGGAGTTGAGGCACACGTGGATGCTACACTGGTTTCAAGTGTAAGTCAGTTACATTGCAGCCCTTTCTTCAGGTGGTCTTCTTTTATTACTTCATAAGACCAATGTGCTTTGAGTGTCAACACAAACATTTGTTTAAAGATTATGGTAATGTTTTTGTCCCCAAAAAGTTTTTTTTAAAGAAGGGAATTTGTTAATTTTAAATGAAGCATTAGATTAAGATGATAGTTGTTGGATTTATTTTTACAGCTCTCTGTGGAAGGTGGTGCCAAGGCAGAGAAGGAGTTGCATCCCAGAGATATAGATGCCTTCTGGCTGCAGAGAAGTCTCAGGAAGTACTATGATGACCCAATGGTGGCACAGGCCAAGGCTGGAGAAGTACTGGAAATTCTAAAGGTAACAGAATTTTAAAAAGGTTTGAACTACACCTGTTAGGGCACTTAGGCTTCGTTCACATGGAAAGTCTATTTTCTAAAAATCTATTTTCTACTCGGCTGTACAGATACGAGTGCAACCGTCATGATCCGATGGCAAGCGATGCAGCAGTGGAGGATGAGATTTTATAGAATGCGAGCACAGCCTAGAATCAATTACAGCTTTGTATAAGTAACTGGCTCGCGCTGCCAGTAATTACGCTTCTTGATATTCAGGGCACAGACCGTGATCATAAGATACCGCGAATAGAAAATAGACTTTCCATGTGAACGAAGCCTTAATCTAGATGTTGCTAGGACATGGAGTTTCTGAAAAAACTGTTGTTTTGATAGAAAATTGCAATGGTTACATTTTGTGGGATCATATGCTCGAGGAAAACAGAAGTTATTGAATTTTGGTTATCTAAGTTTATGAATATTGCAGTTGTGACAATCTTTTCTTGAGATAAGTTAAAACTTGCTTTAAAAAATACTGCAGTACGATTGTATATAGATGTTATTGTTGTGTTATTTTTTTGAGTTAAAGAAAGCATTTCTTGATCCCTGATTTTTGAATATGAAGTACTTGTTCTAATCGATCTTAATTCTCCTATTTAAGAGTTCCTCTGATGACCGTGAGGCTGAGAACCAGTTAGTGGTATTGCTAGGCTTTAACCAGTTTGATTTCATCAAAGTTCTGAGACAGCATAGACAAATGAGTGAGTTGGTCATATATGTTGCCCCTCTTTTACGTTATTGTTCTTAATATTATTATATTTTTGTTGTTGTTGATTTTGATAAATTGAAATATTCAAAATATGTGGTAAACTATGTAAACAGTATATTGCAGCTTTTCATTTCTATAATGATAAAATGGCAGAGGAATTGATTTGTTTGAATATCAATGTGTTGCACTCACTTTTCTCCAGTCCTGTTCTGCACCATGCTTGCTCAGGCCCAGAGCCAAGAGGAAAGAGCAAAAATAGAGGAAAAGATGAGCTCTGATGCCAATTTGTCAAAAATTCTACACACCCTCCAGGAAACAGACAAAGAAGATCTTGTCAGGGAGGAGAGAGAACGACGCCAAGCAAAAAGACAAACGAGGGTTGATGCTGATTTGGAGGCCATGGATACAGATGAAAGACAGGTAAGGGTGCTGGCTGTAGTCACTTCACTAATGCTTCAAACCTATAAGTGGGGGTGAGAGAGGGGTGTTGAACCCTTTTTGCTTGGGAAAGGTAAAATCTGATCCAAGTACACAAAGGTTTTAAAATTCAAAGTTAGTAGTGAGGTCAGTGTGGTAACATTTTTGATAAGAATCAAAATAAAGTGAAACATCAGTTACAAATGGATCATGATTTTGAGTTCTTCACAAATTCTCATATATTCTTTTGTTTGGTGTGTGTCGGAAAGAGAAATGGATACAGTGGTCCTAAAAGAAAAATTAAGGCCTTTTTTTCCTGAGAAGATTGACTATTGAACTAACTGACTGAGTATTCCTATGTGTATACCTGAATTTGTTTAGAAATGACAATCTCTGTATTCCAGGATGTTGGTAATGTCCAGCTGCTTGACCTGGAGGACCTGGTGTTTGGTATGGGCAGTCACCTGATGGCCAATAAGAGGTGCCAGCTGCCCGATGGTTCCTTCAGAAAACAAAGGAAAGGTTATGAAGAGGTCCATGTGCCTGCCTTAAAGCCAAAACCTTACGAAAATAATGAGGTAAATAAGATTGCTTTTTGCTCTTGGTTACTAGACCAATGGGTGTATACTTCCTTGTTCTGTACTGAAAAAAGTACTGCTTTCTGTTTTGAAGGGGAGTAATTTTGACTTTTTTCTAATATTATACCCTTCTATAATGAGTGCCATTAGACTACATAAACAGAATAATAATGGATGATGGTATAGCTTGAAACTTTTTGGAAAGTTTTTTATGCTGGCATAATTATTTTAAGTTAGATAAAATGGAATCAGTAACACTTTACAGTTATGGGTTTTTAGTATTTATTTCTGCGATTTTGCTATGTGGTTCTTTGTGGCACATATTAATGTATTTTAAAGATACCTTTCAAGTAATGATCTTGACAGAAATTTGTTTAAAAAATTAATATCTGAATTCGTTGAGGAAAGTGCTGAGGAATTCATAAAACTATATTTATTGATATCTCCAGACCAGAGTTCCCATTGATCGCTTGCCCAAGTATGCCCAGCCGGCATTTGAAGGTTTCAAGAGTTTGAACAGAATCCAGAGTAGGCTGTCCAATGCTGCATTGGAGTCGGATGAGAACTTGCTTGTTTGTGCACCAACGGTAAGTGCTTTTT